TAAAGGTTGCTTTTAGTATCAATTTTAAGCATGAAAATAACAGTTTTTCAACTGTTATCAGTAGCTAAAACTCCATTTCACTAGGGTTGAGAGTAAATTTCTGAACTTCTATGTAATTTTTCTATTAATGCATGAACTTGTTTGAATTATGTGTTCTATCCTTATTATTCATGCTTTTGATGGGAATCTGAGATATTTGAACGGTTAAATCATTGGGAAATGTATGAGACCGCGGACCTAGGATAGAACTGCTAAAGAATTTCGAGTCCTAGACATAGGATGGAATTTTTAGTCATCTGTGACATTGTGTTTAAGGCAAATCTGATAACTGAATTAGCTAAGGGATTAGTAATTTAGTTTGGGTGATTATGAACTGTCATCTGAGGGATTAGGGACTGCATGCGCCTAGAATGTCGATGCTTAATTTTGAGGAATTGTGTTAGTAGAAGATTATCGGAGTGATGAACTTGAATTTCAACCCCAGTGAACTTTAATTCAACTGTTTTTACCACTTTAATTTCATCTGTATGCCAATCTTAATTGTGTTATAAAAAATACGTTTATTAATCGCTAAATTAGTAAACTTTAATCAATCTGTGAATCAAAACAAATCTCTTGGGAAAACGATTTCCGGACTTACCAGTTTATTACTTGAACGATCCGGTACACTTGCCGAGGTCTCAACAGACATTCAGAAGACGACCTTTCGGTCCCGTTATGGACATTATGAATATGTGGTAATGTCGTTCGGTGTGACGAACGCCCCAGCCATATTCATGGATTACATGAACCGCATTTTCAGGCCATATTTGGATAAGTTCGTGGTGGTATTCATTGATGACATCCTTGTCTACTCTAAGAGCTGTGAAGAACATGAAGAGCATTTGCGGTTGGTACTTGGAGTTTAGAGAGAAATTGTCCAAGTGCGAGTTTTGGATGAAAGAGATACAATTCTTGGGACACGTAGTGTCAGCTGGTGGAATTTCAGTTGATCCGACCAAGGTACGAGCGGTACTGGAGTGGGAGAGTCCGCGTTCGGTCACTGAGGTTAAGAGCTTTGTAGGACTCGCGGGCTACTACAGGCGTTTCATAGAAGGATTTTCTAAGATAGTAGCACCGTTGACACAGCTTACGCGCAAAGACCAACCGTTCGCTTGGACCGATCGGTGTGAATCCAGCTTTCAAGAATTAAAGCGGAAGTTGACGAGCGCTCCAGTGCTAGTTATTCTGGACAGGCCAAACCATTTGAAGTCTACTGTGATGCCTCTCATCAAGGTTTGGGCTGTGTATTGATGCAAGAGAGACGAGCAGTGGCGTACGCTTCTCGACAATTCAAGATTCATGAGAAGAATTACCCAACGCACGACCTGGAGTTGGCAGCGGTCGTCTTTGCTCTGAAGATTTGGAGGCACTACTTGTATGGATCAACTTTCCAAGTCTTCAACGATCACAAGAGTTTCAAGTAGTACCTCTTCGATCAAAAGGAGTTGAACATGAGACAAAGGAGGTGGCTTGAGTTCTTGAAGGACTACGATTTCGAATTACTTTATCATCCTGGAAAAGCTAACCTTGTCGCGGACGCTTTAAGTAGAAAGGTGGTTCACGTCTCCTCCATGATGGTCAGGGAGTTAAGTTTGGTGGAGAGCTTTAGAGACCTAAGGTTACAGTTCAGATTAGAACCGGACAGCATCAAATGCTGTAACCTTAGGATTTCCAGTAACGTATTTGACCGGATCAGAATGAAACAACTCGAAGATGAAGAATTGTTGAAGATCAGAAGAGCGCTCGGCACGGATCAAGCAAAGGAATTCAACGCGGGGACGGACGACCTATTACGCTATATGGGTAGGACGTGCGTTCCAAATGATGGAGATCTGAAGAGAATCATACTGGAAGAAGGACATCACAGCCGTCTTAGCATGCACCCCGGCATGACTAAGATGTATCAAGACCTTAGGAAGACGTTCTGGTGGCCAGGAATGAAGAACGATGTCGCTCGTTTCGTGGCGTCATGCTTAACTTGTCAGCGAGCGAAGGCTGAACACCAAAGGCCGGGCGGTTTGTTGCAGCAACTTGAGATTCCAGAATGGAAGTGGGACAGCATCTCAATGGACTTCGTGACCCATCTACCACGTACAATCAGGAATCACGACTCCATCTGGGTTATAGTGGATCGTTTAACCAAGAGTGCTCACTTTTTGGCAGTCAACTTGAAGATGTCGATAACCAACCTAGCTAAGCTCTACATTAAGGAGATCGTTCGTCTACATGGAGTGTCGTCCAGTATCATCTCTAATCGAGACACGAGATTCACCTCTCGATTTTGGCAGTCCTTGCAAAGCGAACTGGGCAGCAAACTTCAAATGAGTTCAGCGTACCATCCCCAGACGGACGGTCAGTCCGAGAGAACCATCCAGACGCTCAAAGACTTACTGAGGACGTGCGTGCTAGATCACATGGGCGTTTGGGATGAAATATTGTCGTTAGTGGAGTTCACCTACAACAACAGCTTCCAGTCCAGCATTGGAATGGCTCCCTTCGAAGCTCTGTACGGACGGAAGTGCCGCACGCCACTTTGCTGGTTTCAAGAAGGAGAGAACGTATTGACTGGACCTGAGCTCATTCAACAAACGACTGACAAGGTGAAATTGATTCAAGAAAGGTTGAAGACGTCTAGGAGTCGGCAGAAGTCATATGCAGACAAGAGAAGAAGATCGTTAGAGTTCCAAGCCGGCGATCACGTATTCCTTAGACTGAACCCGACCACTAGAGTAGGCAGAGCTATGCGGCCAAAGAAGTTATCCCCGAAGTTCGTCGGACCGTATCAAATTCTAAGGAAGATTGGACCAGTAGCGTACGAGCTAGCCTTGCCTCCCCAATTGTCCAATCTTCATCCGGTGTTCCACGTTTCCCAACTCCAGAAGTACTTAGCCGATCCATCTCATATACTGGAGTTGGAGAACGTTCGTCCTCGCCAAGACCGAACGCTGGAGATGAAGCCGGTACGCATTGAAGATAGTGACACCAAATACTACAAGAGAAAAGCGGTCAGAATGGTGAAAGTGGTTTGGGACGAAAGGACGGGCGACTCTACCTGGGAAGTAGAGGATGCCATGAAGGATTTATACCCACACCTATTTCCGGGTAAGTTTTAAATTTTCGAGGACGAAAATTTTTGTAGTTAGGGAGAATGTCAAGCCTCGTAATTATGCACCCAAACCCCACCGTCTAATCATAATTAAATGCACCCACGTCACACGTTCAGTGTCATTAAAACGTACTCACACACTCTGCATGCAGCTGCCAAGTGTCAATTTGGAACATTCGAAAATCAGTTAGTGGAATACAAGTGGCAGCAGGAGAATGGACGCTCGTCCTACGTGGGAAAGAAAAATGATTTTTCTGAAAACCCTCTCCCCACTCTTCTTCATGCTTCTTCTTCTTCCCCAAAATTCTGACTTTCCATTTCTCCTCCTTCTCTCTAGAATACTCTCCCTTCTCTCTACTGAAACTCATCCTTTCTCTTCTCCGTTCATCATTCAGAGACCGTAGGAACACTCCCGGCGTCTCAAGCTTCACTTTGAACCCAACACCTTTGAGTTTTGAAACTGGTAAGTTTCCTTATGCCTAGCCGTCCGTTTTCTGATACATGCAAACCCAGCTTCGGTTGCATGCGGTTATCCTGTCTAAGTCTCTGTTGGTTTAATTAATGTTAGAAATTAGTTTGAAGAAGAGTGGAACATAAGGGTAGAAGGGAACTTTGTTAGACGAAGAGTGTTTTGTACGTTCGTTCACAAATCCAGGTAAGGGAAGCTTATTAAGTTTAATTCTTGTGTTGTACTGTGTTGTATGACGTTATATGATTTTATGAAGCATGAAATCTGTATTATTTGATCTTTGGTATATGATTTTGATGATGAGATGATGTAAGAGAATTATGAAATGTGCTATGATATGAGTATTTGAAAGTATGAAAGTTTATGTTGAGAATTTAGTATAAGGTAATGACACTGTAAATATGAATT